CGTGGCCGCGCGCTAGCCACCGGGAAGGGCGCTCGGGCCGCCGGGCCCGCGGGGTCGCCGCGCGCTCCCCACCCTGCGCTTCACGTACCGCAGCGCGGGAAGGAGGGGGCGCCACTGACTCCCGCTCTCCTTCCTGCCCCCTCCTTCCAGACTTCCTCAGTCCGCGCCGGGGCTGCAGCAGGAGAGATTCGAGCTAGACTCCGGGAAGACCGCCCTGGCGGGCCAGCCAGTCAGCGGACGGGAGGCGGCGGCAGACTTTGTCCAGGATTTTTCTCAACTCCGCCAGAAGAGGCCTCCCCCGCCCCCAGAGGCCGGCCGGAGCCAGGGGGCTGCGGTGCGGGGCGCGGGGCCTCGCGGACGACTCCCCGCTCGGCTCTCCCGTCGGCCCAGGCGAGGCTGCTCCGAGGTTGCGGCGTTTCCAATTCGGGCTCCTCGGGATGAATCATCCCTTTCGCGCCGCCTGGCCTCCTTTCCGGCCTCCTCCGCCCGAGGCCTCAGTGGACCCCGTCCCGGGCCAGAGCAGCACCGCCTCCGAGGCCCGGGGTCCCGGCCCGCACAGCTGACGCCCCTCGGGCTGCTGGTGCGTCCAGTCGCGGCCCGAGCGCCGGACCCGGGGCCGGGCAGGAGCAGCCGGGCCGTGCGTGGCGTGGCCCGCACGAAGTCTGCGTCCCGCGCCCCCAGAGTGGTTTCCGCACAGCTGCAGCGCCGGGAGCCCCAGCCAGGCCTGGGCGGAGGCCCCAGCACCGGGGCCGCGCGCTGCCGCACCCGAAGCGCAGGAGGGACCGGCCCGGCCTCTGACCGCAGCGCCCAGGCCTGGGGCCTAGCGGGGAGCAGTGTCGGCCGCGTCCGAAGTCGGGGTTCGCAGCTGGGAACCGAGGCCCCGCAGAGCGCAGGGGCCGGCTGGGTCCCACCGCCGCGGGAGCCCTGGGCCCCGGGCGCTTCGGGGCGCAGCCACAGGCGCGTCCCAAGAGCAGACGCGAGCCGACCCCTCGGTCACCGAGTGCGGAGCCCTTTCCCCAGCCGGAAACCAGCGGAGTGACCACCCCACCTCGAGCCGGCGCTGGCGCCCAGCCCCTGCTCCTGCGAGATCACCTTCCTTCCGCAGCCCGTCCCTGCTAAGAGGCGACAGCACGCGGAGCAGAGTCAGGCGACGTGTTCGGAGGTCTCAAGCCTCGAGGGGGCGTGGGGCCACGCTGGGGACCCCAGGGAGGCGGACTCTGGGACACACAGCCCGCTGGTCGCTGCAAGTTGCTCGGGCGGAGCCCCCTGTAACTCCCGGGTCCCGCCACCGCCCGCGTCCGCGCTCCGGCCCCGGGAAAAGGACCAGCGCCCTCAGAAGGGAGGAGCCAAGCGAAAAGTTGGGGAAAGTGGGTGGCGAGGCCGTGGCCCCTAGTTGTGCTCACCTGGCGCCACCGCGCCCGGACGGGTCGGGCTCCAAGTCCGCGCCGCCGTTCCCCGCGCCGCCTGGGTCTCTGCGAGCCCCGCCCC